GTAGCACTGAAGATGTTACCTAGCCAGGTAATGAAACGTTTGCAAGAAAAGAACCAAGCTCAGAGAACCGCAAGGACTCCAGAGGATCTTTTAGAACTATCAGTTCAGCTCTCTGTTGCAGTCAGCAATGGATAATACTTTAGGCTGCAATTCTATATCCTGGAAGCAAACCCAGTGAAATGAACTACTGTTTTCAGCCTCCTGAATGGCTGACCAGGCCATTCACTGTGAGGAGGAGAACATAAGGTCCTGATCACCTTGAAGCAAAGCAAAGTAAAATAAAATAAAACCATTCTTCCAATGCTATTGTAGATGATAATTACGGTATTTTAAACATTTATTAACTTCAAGGTAACTTCATTTTGGAGAAATTCACTGAAATACTGCATAAATATGGTGCAAATTCACAACACGTTAAGGACAAATTTCTACTTTGCCTATATTTTATATTTATTTTCTGGAGTATGGAAAATAAATGAAACTATACTATTTTTGGATATGGATAATGCTGAATATAGGTAAGTGCCCTATTCAAGACTGTGTCTTATATATGACAAATCTCACTCACAATACTTTGCAGGAAATGTGCCTCTACAACATTTTGTTATCACAATACAGAAAAATAGTCTCTGTAGATTAATCTGGATATTATGTTACTCCATAAACCAGGAGCCAAAGTAATTATACTGTACTACTGCCTGTTACATTATATGTGATATTCGTATAGAATATTTTCCCTAGATTACTGTTATATAATTGTGCAATAATATCATCTGCATCTTCTGATAATGATAATCTAACTATGCCAACCATATGAATTCTATTTTTAATTCACCTTGGTGTTGTAGGGTTGAATTTTTCTTCTTTTTCCACATCTTTTGTCTGCACTAAAGGATTTTCAATTATGACTGTGATAAAAGAGATTCAAATAACAGCTTACAAGTAGACAGATATACCTGCAAACCAAGCCTAGGACTTGCCATGTAAGCAGTACCTACAGAGTGAATGATCTGATTTACATCCTACCTTTCAGTCCAAACAAAATGGTTAGCAAAAGAAGGCAGGAGAAGTAGGCTGTGCAGCACTTCCTATCCAAAGGCAAAAGTTGCTTTGGGGCATTGGGCATACTTATCTCCTGCCTGCAACTCCTTAAACCAAATATGTCTTTTCCCAGGGTTACGCTGCATATGCAGAAGGCAGCTATCTGATCCTGGAAAGATGCGGTGCCTTTAATGATTTGCCAATACATGCTATGTTTGTAGTACCCTTTTACCTTGGAATACAAAGTACTGTACAGCATAAAAAGCAGCACAATTAAAGGTTTTTTTTTTTTTAAGCGTACATGCTTTTTAGAAATACTTCAAAGTTTAGAAGATTTACCTTACCAATTTCTGTTTATCAGTAACCTTGCACAAATTATGCCATTAAAATCAGGCATGGGCGATCTGTGGCTCTTAACTACTCTTTGTGAAGCCCATGCAATATGGAGCAGCCCTGCCCATGCTTTTCTTGTGCTCCTATCAGCCATCATCTGAATATTGAAAAATGTTGCTTTTTATTAGCAATATTAGCACAGTACTGTTGATGGAGGTTGCTGAAGATAGAGTTATTATTATTATTATTTATTGGATTTCTCCCCCGCCCATCTCCCCCACAATAGGGGACT